CCTGCAGAAGGGGAGAAAATATTTGCAAACTGCGTCTGACAAAGGTCTGATTTCCAGAATCTATAAGGAACTTAAACAATTCAGCAAGCAAAAAAACCAAATAATCCCATTGAAAAGTGGGCAAAGGACATGAACAGACACTTCTCAAAAGAAGACATAAAGTTGGCCAACAAACGCATGAGAAAATGCTCAACATCACTAATCATTAGAGACGTGCAAATCAAAACCACAATGAGACAGCATCTCAAGCCAGTCAGAATGGCAATTATTAAAAAGTAAAAAAATAACAGATGTTGTTGAGGCTTTGGAGAAAAGAAAATGCTTATCCATTGTTAGTGGGAATGCAAATGAGATCGTCCCCTGTGGAAAGCAGTTTGGAGATTTCTCAAAGAACAAAAAACAGAATTATCATTGGACCCAGCAATCCCATCACTGGGTATATACCCAAAAGAAAATAAATGTCCTACCAAAAAGACACCTGCACTCAAATGTTTGTTGAACCACTATTCACAATAGCAAAGACATGGAATCAATCCAAGTGCCCATCAGCAGTGTATTGGATAAAGAATATGGGGTACATATACACCATGGAATACTACACAGCCATAAAAAGTGAAATTGTGGCCTTTGCAGCAACATGAATGCATTTGGAATCCATTATCCTAAGCTAATTAATGCAGAAACAGAAAACCAAACATCACATGTGCCCACCCATAATGGGGAGCTACACAGTGGGTATACACAGACACTGGGGGGTTACTAGACAGGGGAGGGAAGGGGGCAAGGGCTGAAAAACTACCTATCAGGTTCTATGTTCACCACCTGGGTGGTGGGATCGTTAGAAGGCCAAACCTCAGCATCACGCAATATACTCATGTAAAAAACCTGCATAGGTATCCCCTGAATCCAAACAAAAACCCAGTCTTTCTCTTTCCAAAACCCCAAAGCAAACTTATCAAAAAAACTTTCCAAGGAAAACACAATCCCTAGACAAACAGCTATATTTTCAGCAGAGCAGATGCCAGCCGGGAAGACACAGAGCTAGTTGCCTTCAACACCGACAGCCAGCCCCAGGCTGCTCAGAAAAGGCCACTGGGCAAGGAGAGGCGGGGACCTGGACCCTTGGGTCCCATTGGCCTCTCTGTCAGAGGCTTTGCCCCTGGCCCTGGCTTCCGAGAGGCTGTTTTCCTGGAGAAGGCCACAGCGGTTCTTCTCAGAAACGTTCTCCCTTTAATGATTCAGCACGCATGCTGAGCGGGGTGCCGGTGGCATGAGTGAGATTGGACATGGCAAACCTTTAATGCCAGCGGGAAAGCTTCATAAAGTGACATTCGGCCTGAGCTGCAGCCTCTGCAGCTTAATGGTGCACCTCGAGGTGGCTGCTGGTGACCCCATTTGTTCGGCAGCAGGCAGGCCAACCGTCCGGACCCTCTTCTGGTTGGGGTGGGCCACTGAGATGTCATAGATTGGAGGCATCTGGGGGCCCTGGCTCTTTGAGGGGCACTCTGGGGTGGGTTGTGCCCTTGCCATCAGCCTCAGGGAAAAGAGTACTGGATTTGGAGTCTGGAGAGCTCCTGGCAGCTTCCTGCCTCCCCCACTTTCCAGCAGTTTGCTCTGGGGTGAGATTCCTTGGGGTCCTGAGCCTGTTTCCTCACTCATTGGGTGCAGTTAAGAGCTACACACTTTTTATATGCGTGTCCTTTCTGCACAGTGACACCCACAGCCTTGGGGACAGCAGCCACCTACAGCCTCTGCACCATCTGGTACCCGCACCTGCAAGTCCAGGTACAGGATGTCACTGCGAGGTGTCACTCACTCACTCATTCATTCAGCATGTTTTTGCTGGGTAGGTGCATGGTACAGGCCTGATCTGGCAATGGGGCTTCTGAGTGAGTCTCCGGCCGGCAGGCTGCACTTGTTGCTGAGCTTTCTGGACTCTGGGACCTGGATGCAGCATCCCAGTTTCAGCCCTCAAGGGCACCTTGTCTTGACCCCCTTTCTTCTCCTTGCCCCCTCTCTCCCTGCCTCCATCTTTTCCTTCTCCTCCTGTCCCTTTCTTCAGTAACTTTTGAGTCCCTCCTATGTGCCAGGTGCTATTCTAGGCACTGGGAGGGGGGAGGGGTGGCCTAGCAGCAAACAAAACAGACAAGTCCCCACTGTCCCTGCTACCAGGAGGGGCCCAGGATTGGGTGGCCCAGGGCCTCACATAGCAGTTCTAGAGTCTGGGCCCAGGGAACGCCACACTTTAAGCAGTGTGGGCCTGTGCTGACCTGCCGTCTTTTCTTGGCTCTCTTTGTCTGTCTTCCATAATTCACCAACCCCCCAGGCTGACCAGGAGCTCTACAAGCCCAGATGTCCGTGACTTGTGCGCACTAGAGAATGGGGCGTCGCCGTGGAGGGCGAGCCTTTCAGACTTGGGGATGCTTGTGGGCTGATATGGGGACTTGAGGGAGCGTAGACCTCATATCTCTCTCTGGAGATGTGATTCTGTGGGTCAGTGGAGGAGCCCAGTAGTTCTCTCTGATGCATGGTCCCCAGATCACAGCCCGGGAAACATGTGGTGCTGGAGTCTGTTGAGATCGAATCCTAGCCTGCCACTGTGACTGTGTGGGCTTGGGCAAGCACCAATAATTATGGACTGTCTGTGATTTCACCATATTTTGAAGCTAAGAGGTGAGCCCGCTACCCTTCCCTGGATGCTGGCAGAAGACATGAAATTCCCGGAGCAGAGACAGCTGTTGTTGTTACTTGCCACCCAGCAGGCAGCCCAAGCTTCATGGTCCTCATGGGTCCCCTCTGCCTCTAAACCCCATGGCTGTGATACTGAGAGGCCCAGGTGGATGCTGCATATGTAGGGGGTCTGTGTCCCAGCCAGGGACCCCATCTGAGGAACCCTGTCTTGCCGAGTGGACTACAAGCACACCTGCCTGGCCTTTGCCCTTGAGGGGGACATTATCTTTATTACACTGGAGTCCAAACAAGCCTGCCTCTGGCGTGGAGGGAGACAGCCTCTATCTTCCAAGTTGTTCACTATTCAAACATTCTTGGAAAGACAGTCTGGAGCAAACACTATAAATGGCTATATCCAAGATGAGCAGAACCACCAGCGACCCAGGGGACTGGGTCTCAGGAGCAAATGACTCAGCCCTGCTGAGCTTGTTCCCTTGTCTGTAGGAGGGGACATAATTGTGGTGTTCACCCCAGAAGGTCACTCCATTACCTGCTCCATTAGCCCCTCTAGTCCCTGCCCCCCACCCTTGCCCATCCAGGAGTGGGGATGGGGAAGCTGGAGGAAGGAGCAGGGCTTTGCAGACTTGGGCGATTCCATCAATTTCTTGTCCTTTTGTAAACCCTCCTGCCTGTTTGGGGCTGGCTGCTGCTCTAGCCCTGGTGAGCCAGGGCCCGTGCTTCTGGTGCTGCACCCTGGCCTCCTAAGGTGCCCCTGGCTCAACAACCCTTCTCCAGTGTGACAGATGACTACAGAGTGACCCTCCCAGCTGCTCACAGAGCTGACAGCTGAGAGGCTTGCAGAAATGCCTTTTCTGTTTCATTGTCTATCGCTTATGTACAGCAATCTAAATTTCTAGCTGTTAATGAAAGATTATAGATGTATTAAAAATGTCCCCAAAACCTCTCTTCTTTGCACTTGGATTGTTAAATTCCCAACCTCCATTTTCAGGTTTTAATGAACAGCACAGGGTACTTCATTGGCATGTTGGCCTTGCATGTAGTACCCTCTCTCATCCCGTCTTGGGGGAAGCTCTTAGAACAGGTGTTTGGGTGGAGGGTCCTAAGGTCCCGACAGGGCTGATGGGCTCCCATGAGCCTCCTCTGGAGGGTGACAGGGGTTGCTTTGCAGGCGCTGCTGCCCGGTGGGGGCTCGGAGAGACACTTGACCTCGTCAGAGTTTGTGTGATCGGGTCCTTGTCCTTAGGGGCTGGGGTTGCAAGCCGGCCATGCCAGGAGCGTTTTTGTCAGCCTTCTGGTGCTCCACTTGCAGTTTGGCAAGCTGCTACCACCTGAGCTGTGCTTCCTGGCTGAGGACATTTTGCAAACAATAGCTTCCCTTAGGCAGGGAGCCATTCAGTGTGGATCATGGTGCACTGCGCTTTCTCTATGAAATTAGAATGATCATAGAAGTAACAAAGCAATAGTATCAGCTTCAGCTCATTTCATTCCATGAACCTTTGCAGAGCACCTATGATGTGCTGGGCACCTTGCTGAGTGCCTGAGATCTGAAGAGCCTTGTGGCAAGATGTGGGTGGGTTTAGCTTCTAAGGTCTACATAGGTTAAAAAAAAATTGCATACTAAAAATCACTCTGAACTTGCTGCCAGATCTCGATGTGGGCCCTTGGAAGTGCAGGGCCTGGGGATTTCCTCCTTCATTCCTCTTTGTATTTCGGCTGTGGCTTCCCTGCAGAAGGACAGTGGAGACCAACGTCTAGTTTGGACAGGAGTCACAGCTGTGAGGGAAGCTAATACAGGGATGGCTCTTATTTTCCCCACCCTGCAGCCCCGAGCCTACGCAGTTGAGTTCTTAGAAGTTACATTTCCATATGAGGCTAAAGGCTTATCCAGGCAGCAAAGTTAAGGAGAGAGTGGGGAGAGTTAGAATAGGTTTCGGTGCTCTGGGGGAAGAGACATTTTGGGAGGGGGAATTAGAATGAAGATTCAGAGTCTCGCAAAGAGAGTGGAGCTAGACACAGCTTCTGGGCTACACAGAGAGGCATTTGGCCCCACCCTGGGGTTGGGAAGACTTCCAGGAGGAGACGCATGCTGCTTCCTAAGGGTCACATTTCCCATTTAGGAGGATAATGAATAGATCTGGAGCAAGAATGAAAGGAAATAAACATCTAGGTACATTTGGGTGCCTGGTCTGCTGTAGATGAACACCCAACTGTGAATGCTATGTCCTCAGTGCCTAGCAAAACACAATTGCCTAATATTTGTGGAATGAATGAAAGACCATGAATTATTTTCTACTTTGAGAAGAAGACTTTAACTCTCCTTTCCTGAATCCAGTGGTTCTTAAGCACTGTCAGCATCTGGGGTGTCAGGGCTACCAGGAGAAAGCCCAGCAGAGGCAGCTGCGGGAGCAAGGAGCAGTGGAACACGGAGAATGTCTGCTGGGGGCTCCTGAGCCTGGCCATAGCTGCGTGCCAGCCTCCTTGTCTGCAACAAGGCTGCAGGTGAGCAGAAAAGTGAGATTGACTGCCACTGGGCAGCTGCCCACCACAGGTCCGGCCCAAAGCCTCTCACACCCTAAGCAGCATATTTTGCCCCATCACCCCAGGGGACATCTGGCAATACTTGGAGACATTTTGGTTGTTACAAGGGGTAGGCTTCGGGGTTAGAGGTGAGAGATGTTGTTAAACATTCTACCATGCACGGGTGGCCCACCCCCGCCACCTGACATGAAAGAGATTTGTCCCACCCAAGATATCAATAGTGACGAGGCTGAGGATGCTGCACCAATGCTGCCTAGGGTGTGAGAGGCTTTGGGCCGGACCCGTGGTGGGCAGCTACCCAGTGGCAGTCAATCTCACTTTTCTGCTCACCCGCAGCCTTGTTGCAGGCAAGGAGGCCAGCAGGCAGCCATGGGCAGGCTCAGAAACCCCCAGCAGTCTCCATGTTCCCCTGCCCCTTGCTCCTGCAGCTGCCTCTGCTGGGCTTTTTCCTGGTAGCCCTGACACCCCAGATGCTGACAGACTGCAGGGAGGCCCCGTCATGCCTGGTTAGAGACCCTGTCCTGGGCTCTGAGAATTCAGTGCTTGGCCTCAGAAAGCAGTTTGCTCCTTTTTCTCTCACATTCCCCAGTCGCAGCCTGGCCTGAGGCCCTAGGAGTAGGGGAAAGCCGGGTAATCCGCAGGGCGAAGCGTTCATGTCCCACTCTGCTTATGCTCTTTTGATTGTTGCCCAGCACAGATGATCAAGTCCAGGGTAGCCACAGTCAGGCCAGGGTTTGTGCCCTCCCTAGGTCTCCCCGACTCTCAGGACTTGCTCTCCCTCAGCTCTGAGGACAACATGGCCTTGTGGAGCAGGAACGAGGGAAGGGAGAGAGGGTGGAATGTCCCCCGTCCTGCCGCTGGATGCTCCAGCCACTACGTGGATGCACCACACATACTGTCTCCACCGCTGGACTTCTCTGGCCCCCTCCCCCGGATAACACCACTCCAAGTCCTATCCGTGCTTCAAGCTCCCTCCAGAGCCCTCCAACCCCCAGCCCATGCTCAATCTCCCTTGCCATCCTGTGGCACTAATGGGGCGCATTGCAAGGTTACTTCAGATGGCCTCTCCCTGGAAGCACCGCCTCCTTAACCAGCTGCAAGCGGCGGGATGGCAGAGCCACGTGCCCCTCCCAGAGACTCACACGTGCAGTGAGTATAATGTGTTGAAGACGTTCTGCACGCCAGGCCCCCTGCCAAGTGCTCTGCCTGTGTGGTCACAACAGTCTCATGAGTGATGATGCTGTCATCTTGACTGTTTTCCATAGCGGCTGGGGAAATCAGCGACTTGCAGAGTCGTGGGCTGGTGCTTTGACAGAGAGGCGAGGGGAGAGAGGGATTACCCTGTTCCCGCGGCACTCGGTCCATTCCCTCGGTTACTCCTTCTCTCGAACATTTATGCAGTAGAGGCGGCCGGGTCCCTTTAAGGCTCCTCCGCGCCTGCGCCTTGGGTTCTCCTGACGCGGCCAAGCCTGATCCTGAGGAGCCAGTGGGGCGCAGGCGCGGCGGCGAGGGGCTGGGTGGCGGTTGATACTGCGGGGGTACTGGGAGGGGTAGGTGAGGGTCGCGAGGCTCCCTGAGCTTCTGAGTGAGCATGGCGCTTTTGGAACGCGGGACGGGCGACCTGCTGCGCCAGGAGCTGGGCCTGTCTCTTATACACATCTAGATGTGTATAAGAGACAGCCTCTGGATGGGAAGTTATGGCGAAGTCCGCCCAGCGTTTCCGAGGTGAGGGCGCCCCGCCCGGCTAGGCGGTCGGTGAAATCTGGGACCCGCGAGCGCACAGCTGGGTTGAGGCGCGGCCTGGCAAGTTTTGTTGGGCGAGGGGTGGTGGGTGCACGGCCGGGACCTGAGTTCCCTGAGCTCGATTCTTCCCCTGCTGCGGCCGCCCGCAGCCCACCTCTGGTGCGCGCTGGGGAAGAAAGTCGCTGGCGGGTGTTCTGTGGCATTGCGGGCGGTGGAGGGACGGAGCAGCTTCGGGGGCATGTCGTCCTATATCCTGTAGAGGACACTCACCCCGGACCCCACCTTCGAGTCCAGAAATCAGTTCCCTCTGCTTGCAAAGTTGGAGTCTTTATTGGCCTCCGGGATTCTGCTCCTGGCGGTGTCTCCAGGCTGGCGATGGGCAAGCCAGGTGTGCCAGGTCCAGGATGCACATGAGGAGCGTTTGTAGCCATCCAACCTCATGACTAGCGGGGCAAGCCTCAAATTAACCGCAGGATTTCCGGAAGGATGGATTGTGGGGTTGGTGTTTGCACTGCAAAGAGTTGCTGTGATTTCCCTGTGTCTGTCTGTCATTTGGCGTCCTTTCACCGAAGAGTTAACCAAGACATTTGGCATGGTTTCCTTGCTTTCCTCTTGTCTTTTGCTGCTACAGCCACTTTCGAAAAGAAGTCTTTTCTTTTCTTTGGGTTACAGTGTTCATCCTTTCTTTGCCGAAAGAATGAATCCCAGTGCGTCACGAAGTTAAAGAAAGATCTGCTGGTAGTGTTTAATCTTTGTTCGGGGCTGATATGCGTTAGTAGCTTTCTTTTTGTTTTTAAATTTTATTAGTAAAATTTCAGCAGTGAACCAGGAGCTGTTTTTTTCTATTCTGAAATGCTAGCTTTAAGATTTCTGAGAACTTTGTGTCAAAGAAATCTTTGAAAAGGTACTGAAGTATACAGAAGAAGTTCACAATTTTAAATGTGCAGGTGGTCCAGGCGCAGTAGAGCACACCTGTAATCCCAGCACTTTGGGACACCAAGGTGGGTAGATCACTTGAGCCCAGGATTTCCAAACCAGCCTGGGCAATGTGGAAAAACCCTATCTCTACTAAAAATACAAAAGTTAGCTGTGTGTGGTGGGATCCCAACCCAGTAGGCTGAGGTGGGAGGATCACCAGAGCCCGGGAGGCTGAGATTGCAGTGAGCCATGATCATGGCATTGCACTCCGACCTGCATGGCAGAGTGAGATCCTGTCTCAAAAACAAAAACAAAACAAAAAACCAAAAGGTAATGAATTTTTACGAAGTAAACCACCGCAGATCAAGAAATAGAACATTACTAGACTGGGGTATATTTGTAGGAGTGGCATTGTTGGTTTTATCATTTATATGAATGATAAACTTTAGTATTACATATTGTTGAACATTTTCCCAAAATGGTTGAACCATTTAACAGGGATATTCTTGTTACCCCACGTCCTTGCTGATGCCTGTCAGTTAAAAATTATTTTGCCATTCTAGTAGGGGTGCAGTAATGTATCAGTGCGGTTTCACTGAGATTGAGTGTCTTTTATTGCCATTTATATGTCCTGTTTTGTGAAGGGCCTGTTAAATCTTTTTATCCCGTTTTCATTGATAAGCTTGTTTTTCTGTTGATTTGTAATACTTTATTCTGGATATGCATCCTTTCTAGGATATATATGTATTGCGTTTCCCTTTTTTCAATCTGTAGCTTGCCTTTTTACTCTTTTAATGGTGTTTTTTCATGACGGAGATACTCTAACTTTTTTTTGTTTGTTTGTTTTTGAGACAGGCTCTCACTCTGTTGCCCAGGCTGGAGTACAGTGGCACAATCACAGTTCACTGCAACCTTGACCTCCTAAGGCTTAGGTGATGCTCCTGCCTCAGCCCCCAAGTAGCTGAGACGTACAGGGGAGCACCTCCACACTCAGCTCTTTTCTGTATTTTTAGTAGAGATGGGGTTTTGCCACGTTGCATAGGCTGGTCTGGAATTCCTAGGCTCAAGTGATACACCTGCCTTGGCCTCCCAAAGTGTTGGGATTATAGGCATGAGCCACTGCACCCGGCCTGAGATTCTTAATTTTAATGAAATTATACTTTATCAATCTTTTCCTTGATGGTTACTGGTTTCTGTGTCCTTTTTAAGGAATCAATGCCTAACCTAAGAGTATGAACACATTTTTCTATGTTAACCTTACAGCAATTTTATTTTAGTTTTTGCATTTTTTTTCCCCCCAGATAGGACCTCACTCTATTGTCCAGGCTAGAGTGCAGTGGCAGGATCTCAGCTCACTGCAACCTCCACCTCCTGGCTCAAGTGATCCTCCCACCTCAGCCACCTGAGTAGCTGCGAGTGTAGGCGTGCGCCACCATGCCTGGCTAATTTTCGTATTTGTAGAGATGGAGATTCAGCATGTTTCCCAGGTTGATCTCGAACTCTTGGGCTCAAGTAATCTGCCCACCTTCAGCCTCCCAGAGTGCTGGGATTACAGGCGTGAGCCACCCCACTTGGCTATGATCACTGTTTACTACATGGATGTGTCTGCTTGATCCAGCACCATTTATTGAAAAGACCATCCTTTTCCTTCTGCATCGTGTGGCACTTTTTTTCATAAATCGAATGACTGTATTGTCATCTGATTTCTGAAATTAGTGTGGGTCTGTTTCTGTTTCTGGACCAACCTGGGTAACATAGTGAGATCCCGTCTCTACAAAAAATAAAAATAATGAATACATGAATAACATTTAAAAAGTAAGTGCATAGAGCCGATGGAGTCATAGGTGATAATTTAAAAATGATTGTCAGTTTCTTGGCTACATACAGGTGTTGGTCATTCAGATGTGTTGGGCGTTCAGGCAAAATGTATTAACTGAATTATGTGTTGTTGAGAATGATTGCTAGATGTTCATTGTGACTTGAATGAGATGTTATTTGAGTCTCACAGAGCTACAGTTTTCACTCTTTTATTTATTTATTTGTCTTTAAAAAATTTTTGCATCTTCCTGTCAAGGCAGTAACTCTTTTATACTGAATTGTTCTTAGGTGTACTTAGTTCGCAGGAAAGCTTTATGGATCACACCGAAATAAGTGTTCAGCCATTGAAAGGGCTCACGTGATGTGATGTAAATAACAGTATTCTACATAATAGTTTGAGGACACATCGACTATATATACATATATATATGTGTATATATATATATGTTTTTTTTTTCTTGAGACCGTGTCTCGCTCTGTCACCCGGGCTAGAGTGCAGTGGTGTGATCCTGGCTCTCTACAGCCTTGACCTCTCAGGCTCAGGCAGTTCTTCCACCTCAGCCTCCTTAGTGGCTGGGTCTACAGGAATGCACCACTATGCCCGGCTAATTTTCTATTTCTTTGTAGACAGGGTTTTCCTGTAGCGCCCAGACTGGTTTCCAATTCCTGGGGTCAAATGGTCCTCCCACCTTGGCATCTCAAAGTGTTGGGATTACAGGCATGAGCCATCACACCTGGCATTTTTAGTTTTAATAATTTTTATATTTTTCTAATTTAAAAGATTTACTAAAATGTCTTACAGCTATTATTTATGAATTTAGTATTCATTCTTGTTATTATGATTTTGTTTGTGTTTAATCTTACTGTCAATATTAGCTCCTAGAAATTAGAGATTTTGTCTCTTTTATTCACCACTGTCTTCTCAATACTTGACCTTGCCTGGCATGAAAGAGATATTGAATCAATATTTGTTAAATGAATAAATGAATGAACATACTAATACCATATTCAGCAATCTCCAAGTATCACAGTTTTTACCATCTAACAAATAAAATAGCTTGTATAGAGCGGAGTCACAGTCAACCTGTCATAAAAGGAAATGTCAATGAAAAATAAACCTTTGTATGTGTAGCTGCTAAGATTTTGGGGCTTTTGTTACTGTAGCGTAACCTAGCGAAAGCTCAGCGAGACAGCATATAGAATATATGTGTACAGATAGACCAGATAGAGCAGTAGATGAGATTCCAAAGATGGTTCAGTAAGCATTAACTAACTACACCTACACTCTCTTAATTCCCTAACAGAAATAATCGAATTCTCGTTCACTAAGATGTGCCTCAAATATTACCTACTTTGTGACAACTTCCCTGGCTGCTCAAGTATTTAGTCAGGACTCTATTTTTTTCCCCCCAGGCTGGAGTGCAGTGGTGCCATCATAACTCACTAACCTCTAACTGAAGGCTGAAGGAATCCTCCTGCCTCAGCCTCCCGAGTAGCTGAGACTCCAAGTGTGCACCACCATGCTGGTCTAATT